GATCTTAGAGGGAAGGCTCTCAGTTTTTCCCCATTGAGGATGATGCTTGCTGTAGGCTTGTGGTAGATGCCTTTAATTATGTTGAGGAAAGTCCCCTTTATCCCCATTTTGGCTAGGGTTTTCATGATAAAGGGGTGCTGGATCTTGTCAAATGCTTTCTCTGCATCTACTAATATAAGCATATGCTTTTTATCTTTTCTTTTGTTGATATGATGGATTATGTTGATTGATTTCCGAATGTTAAACCATCCTTGCATCCCTGGGATAAATCCTACTTGGTCATGGTGTATGATCTTTTTGATGAGTAGTTGGATTCTATTTGCTAGTAGTTTGTTGAGGATCTCTGCATCTGTGTTCATCACGGATATCGGTCTGTAATTCTCTTTAAGGATACCCATGACATTCTTCAAAGAAATGGAGCAAAGACTCCTGAAATTTATATGGAACAATAAGCCCCCATGAATAGCTAAAGCAATTCTTGTGAAAAAGAAAATGGGAGGAATCAATCTCCCAAACTTCAAACTTTACTACAAAGCAGTAATAATTAAAACAGCATGGTACTGGAACAAAGGCAGAACTGCAGACCAATGGAACAGGGTTGAATACACTGACATCTCCCCTCAGTCATATGATCATCTAATCTTTGATAAAGGTGCCAAGTAATGTGAAGTGGAGTAAGGAAAGCCTCTTTAACAAATTGTGCTGGCATCACTGGATGGCTACATGCAAAAAATGGGCTCAGAACTCTGCCTAACACCATTTACAAAAGTAAGATCAAAATGGATTAAAGACCTCAACATCAGACCAGAAACCATAAGGTACACTGAAGACAAAGTTGGCAAAACCCTCCATGACATTGAAGCTAATGGTATCTTCAAAGATGCCACGCCACTGGCCAAGCAAGTGAAAACAGAGATAGATAAATGGGACTATCTTAAACTAAGAAGCTTCTGCACCTCCAAAGAAACAGTGACCAAAATACAAAGACACTCTATAGAATGGGAAAGTATATTCGCCGAATACACATCTGACAAGGGGTTGATATCAAGGATATACAAAGTACTGGTTAAACTCCACAAGAAGAAAACATCCAACCCCATCCAAAAATGGGGCAATGAAATGAACAGAAACTTTCTCAAAGAAGAAATCTGAATGGCAAAAAAGCACATGAGAAAAAGCTCTACATCATTAATCATCAGGGAGATGCAGATCAAAACCACAATGAGATACCATCTCACACCTCAGAGACTGGCCCACATTCAAAAGAACAAAAGCAACCGATGCTGGCGCGGATGTGGCAAGAAAGAGACACTCCTTTACTGTTGGTGGGAATGTCAACTGGTTCAGCCCTGTGGAAAACAGTATGGACGATTCTCAAAAAATTAGAAATTGAGCTCCCATTTGACCCAGCAATACCACTCCTGGGAATATATCCCAGAGAGGCAAAAATGTATAGTCAAAGTGACATCTGCACTTGTTTGTTCATTGCAGCACTCTTTACAATAGCCAGAAACTGGAAGAAACCTGAGTGCCCAAGAACAGATGACTGGTTAAAGAAACTTTGGTACATCTACACAATGGAGTACTATGTAGCTGTTAGAAAAGATGAAGTCATGAAATTTACATACAAGTGGTACAAAATGGAAAGTATTGTGCTAAGCGAAATGAGTCAGAAAGAGAGGGATAGACATAGAAAGATTGCATTCATCTGGGGGATATAAAGTAACAAAATATGAGATTACCACCCAAGAATAGCTGAGATCAGCATCAGGAGGATTACTCCATAGTTTAGAGGCCAGCTGGGCATTCTAGGGGAAAGGGCAGCTCAGATAGAGAAGGGAGCCCCAAATAAAGGGTGTTTGGAGGATCCTCCCAGGAGGGGAGATGCATGTTGAAAGTAGACTATGGACTGAACATGTTTGCCACTCAATGCCTCTTTTGCAGACCACAACACCCAAAAGGAGAGAGAGAACACAGGGGATTGCCCTGCCACAGAGCCAAGGGGGAATGGGGGGATATGGGTGGGGGGGATATTATCCATCGTGGTGGAAAATGGGCACTGGTGGAGGGATGGGTATCTGATCATTGTATAATCGAAACCCAAGCACAAAAAATTGTAAATCTACAACTGTACCTCATGGTGTTTCACTAAAAAAACAAAAAGAAAAGAAAAGCAAAAAAAAGTATAGTATTGACTTTGTACTTACTAACTCCAGCAATTTATTTCCAGAACTCCAATAATATATGCCTATGATTTTCCAGATCACATAATTTAATATGAGTTTTGAAACAGTTGCAATAATGAGTTTCACATGTAATTAATTAAATCTTGACTATAGTGTATTTTCATTGGATTTTGTTATAAAACCTTATCTAAAGAGAACAAAATGAGTGTAGTAGTTTTCTTGTCTTATGAAAAAAAAAAGATTGCTGGTGGAATCGTTCAGAATGGGAGATGTGTGCAGAAAAGAGATAAAGGACCAAACATGATAACCTCTCAGGGTATTGCAAACCATAATGCCCAAAAATAGAGAGAGATTATGGGGAATCATGTCTGCCATGGAGACAGAGGGTGGGTGAGAAAGGAAGGATATACTGTGGATATTGGTGGTGGGGAATGTGCACTGGTGGATGGATAGGTGTTTCATTATTGTGTGATTGCAAACCAAACATGAAAGCTTACTTATAACTATCTCACAGTGATTCAATAAAATTTTAAAAAATATTATATAAAATAATGTGCAAATACAGAAACAAAGACTGAATGTTTACTAATAAATGGAGGGGGTACTTCCAATGTAATTAAGAAAGATTATATATCACAGAGGTATGGCAAATTAAATGAGATTTGAAGGCTGGATAGGACTTGGTAGAAAAGAACATTGCCACAATGAAAACAACAACATAAAGTCTATTGTTAAGATACAATAAAGAAGCTAACACTGATTATTCTTGGTAACACAGAATTGTGAGGTTGAAAAGTAGAATTAGAACATGCTGATTTTGAGAGTTTGGTAAGATTTCAAACATTAACTGGTAACTCAATATATCAGTTTCACAACTAAAACTGAAGCATACTCTAGAAATACTCACCGGGTGGCCTAAAATCACCGGATCAGTGATGAAATCTAGTGACTAACAATATGTATTCAATAAGCAATAGATGATACTGACCATTAATAAATTTAATTGTCATTAACAAGCTTAATTAATATCAACACAAATATATTTCAAATGTACTGCAAGAAAACAACATGTAAAAAAAGACTGAAGTCCCACAAATTGGCGGGGCAGTGAAGTAAACGATACAAAAGAGTAAATGAAGCAGAATGTGTCACTTAAAAATATGACACTTTGATATCAAGAATTACTTGTATCTGAAGACAACTGAAAAGGGGAAATAAACCTGCCTTAGGTTCTATGCCTAAGAGAAGAACAGAAAGGTAGAGGTGTAGAGAACTTTATACCTCTGTAGGAAGGGCATAAATTAATCCCTGAAAAGAGCATCCACTGACAGTCTTCTGTAAAATAAACCTTCACTCTTTGTGGTGACCCCCACACACTTCTCAACATCTCTTTTTCCCCCTATCTTTAGCTAAAGATATATTTGAGACAAACCCAGCAGTGCTCAGGGGACCATATTGGGTACCAGGGATCAAACCCAAGTTGGCTGCATGCACGGCAAGTGCCCTCCCAGCTGTACTATCTCTCTAGTCCCTAAGGACAGGATTCAGGTGAACTATAAACAAATTTCAAGATATGATAATAGAATTCTACAGAGATATCAGTTCTCACAGGGCATTTCCTATGTACAAGTGTTCAAAGAGACTTGTTTTTCTCACATAATTTTTCTTATATGGTCCCAATGAATGACTGAGAATACAGGATATTTTCTCCTCTCTACACATATTTCACTGAAATTTCACTAAAAATCTTAATTATTTTTTCACATATTTTAGTAAGTATAGTAACAAGCAATACCTAGTCTATTTCCTTCCAAAGAAATATTTTTTTTAGAAAAATATTAAAAGAAGTAACAAAATCTTTGTGATTGCCTAACTTCACATTTTTCAATGTCATTAACACAAACAGAAGCATCTTTGTGTCAGGACACTCTCACAGGATTCTGCGGCAATCCTGGGGGACATTAGTAAAGGTAAAGGTAAAGGCCCTCCCGTTGATCGTCGATTTGCTCGAGCGGGCCCAGTAACGTCTCCATTGGAGACTTTGTTGTTACTGTGTCTGGCATATCTAATACTCTCAGTAGCTTGCCGGGCTCTCCGAGGGGGGGGGGGGGGGGGGCATTAGTACAAGGGCGAATAACTCACAACAGTTGCCTTGCACAGCGCTGAGTTGAGTACAGTCTATAACATTTCATTTTGCCTCCAGAACACTGCTGACTGAATGTGCTCCCAAAAAATAGGGAGAAAAAAGAAATTCTGTGAAATATTTATATCCTACTGTGGTCATGAGAAAAAAAAACAGGCATTAAAAACACGAAATTCTATGCTATGCTACCAAGTGATTAACTTATGAAGAAAATAAAACAGGAACATAGGGACTCTGGCATTAGTTGGAAAGAAGAGGGTAATGCTTATAATTTTAAATAGAGTCACTTTTCATCTATATGAAATTTAAAATTACAGAAAGCTAGTAAGTTATTTTATTCTTTCTAAATTATTGCCAATTAACTTTGGTTAAATGGCCTTTTATTTGTTTTTGGCCTATTCTTGGCGGTGCTCCAGGGAAAAGTATGAAGTGTCAGGTATTGAACTGAGGGTTGGCAACATGTAAGACAAGTGTCTTAATGCCAGCACTATCTCTCTCGTCCTTGTTCACTGACCTCTTAAAGTTGGCATTGTAAATAAAATAACTTGCAAAAGTTTTCTAAAAATACTACATACATAAATAAACATGTAAGTATAAATATGGTAAAGTAGCACATGATAGTATAAAGTATATTTAGGTACTTATTAAATTAACATAGAACTTGCACATACCACTTGTCCATTATGTGGGTTCTTATGAGCATATGGAGGTCCACGGATATGATTCCACATCTGGCCAGAAGTCATAGCAAAGACTATACACTGAAAAATAGTGTATAGGATGCACTGTTTAATATGTGCAGAAAATATCAGACTATTATATATTTTTAATAATTGCAATTAAACATTTTAAAAGTAATCTATTATTTCATTCATCAAAATGACACTCACATAAATTATGGAACCCTGAGTAAATCATTTCCTCCTCTCAAATTTGATATCTATAAAATGAGGATATCAACATTTTTGGAGAGAGAGAGAAAGATGCTAATAGTTAAACTGGATAACATATGCAAAGCATCTGGCATGGTAACAACTTGGTATACGTTAACAAGAGCCAATCAAAAGCATAAAATAGAGATGATGTTTTAGGTACAACCAGAAATAGCTCAGATTATGTATTAACTAGATCTGTCAGAAGATGCCATATTTAGAAAACCAATCTTAATGATTCAAAGTATTACAGGGAGGGTAGGAGAGAAAGTATGAATTGAAGTCAAAGTTAATCACTCTATGTCAAGGATAAAAAAATTAATTCACGTATTTTTATATGATCAAATTGAAATCTGAAATACATTGTTCAAGTCAAAACAGTACGTGGAATTTCTTACTGTTATCTCAATACCTCAAATCACTATTTGGGAAGCTATGCTCTGATACTAGTGTCAACAAAGATTCAAGGCCACGTTGAGCAAAGAGTACAATTATTATCTAAACAATCTATCTTTGCACACATTTTAAAGGAGAGGGGAAGAAGGAAAAAAAGAGATAAAATAATACAGAAATGGTGGAAGGAGTAAGGGATGTTTGCACTGTTTTGTACCTTCTTGGGAATCAAATCATTTAAAGAGAAAGAAAAATTTATAACAAGATTACAAAGTTTAAGCTGACTACATAAAGAAATAACACTGAAAAGAATTCAGATTATCTTTCTTTACTTGGCTCCCTAAGCAGTGCTCATAAGAACCTGCTGGCTGTTCCAATGAGTCTCAATAAACAAGGGCTGGTGGCTCAATGCGAACTCTGAGGATGCTTGAATCCTGTGGTCTCAGAAATTATCCCGAGTCCTAACGGAGCTGGGGATTGGATTGAGATCAACTGCATGACCTTAATCTTTGTGCTTTATCTCCCACTCTGAAATTAGTTCGGACTTTAGAGCCGGGATGACTTGTATACCCTGACCTAGAATAGATATTTATCTGAAAGTCAGAATTTTACAAAATACTTGTACCTAATTTTTCTAGGGGCCCTCACTGGAGGCTTGTGGCAACAGAAATGCTTCGCATGGCAGTATAGGTCTGACAGCTTGTGAGGAGGGGCACAGTGAGGTGGGATATGCACTGCCAGGGACAGAAACGGACTCAAAGCTATATTATGCAAAGCAATATTAATCAAAACAGCATTGCGTTGGAAAAAGACACCCAAACCAATGGAATATGGTATCAGGGATCAAAACTAAGGTCAGTTGCGTTCAAGACCAATGTCCTATCCCCATCTCACAGCTTAATACCATATTTCTTAATGTTAAATCTGGCAGTGATGATTAATAAAGCAGTAAATAATAAGACTAAGTTTCCATAAGCTATCCACAGTTACAGAAGGTAGAGGTATCTCAAACGTTTATCTCTACCTTAATAAGAAAAGCAGAGGATTTTTTTAATTCAAGATTTTATCATGAGAGTGGAGGTTTAAAACAATGTCTGAAGACATGTCTACTTTCTGCAGGTCTGTTATCAACTTTTAAAAGTCATTGGGGAACAAGCATACCTGCCAAGATTCTATACTCAAGTATGTGTCCCTCAGTGTTTGAATACCTTTTATTATGCTAAGTTAATCAGCTTTCAAGGATTCAAAATAGGAAAAAATCTGCATGATGAAGCAGAAGGTCAAGAAAATTGATCCACTGAAATAATATATGCCACATACAAATGTTCTGAGGTATTTTTACAGTTCAAGTGCTTATTGCAGTCTCCGTATAGGCAAAAGTTCCAACATATGAGATGTATCCATCTTTAAAAATCCCTACATAATGAAAAGATAAAAAATTTAGTCAGATATAAGTGTGATCAAATCACAGTTCAATTATTTCTAGCTGTGTAAGCTTCTCCAAGTTGAATTTATTGAATCTTAGTTTCCTTGTTGATAAAATGAGAACACAAATCCCTTTGAAGCGTTAAAGGAATAAGTCCATAAAGAAAGTACAAATAGAAAAAGACTCAGAAACAAGCAATGTTATTATGATAATAATTCTGGAGTTTTTCTTAAGAAGAGAGGATAATGAGGTAAAAAAAAAACATTATTCAATGTAATGTCTGTCCAATTTGGAGGAGACTGCATGAGTTTCTGTAGATTAAACCATTTTGAGATCACTCACAGTATTCAATTATCTTAGAGTATAAGCATCTTAATTGAATTATAAAAGAAACTTCATTTTAAAACCTAATGAATTTTTAGGCACGGACTTAAAAGCTGTTGAACTTTAGTAAGAATTCTCCATGTGATCTGACCTTACGATCTAAGATTACTAGAATATGGTAAATGGATGATTGCAACCATTATTTACAATTATGACAGTTAAATCTTTGCAGAGATTTTCAAAGATAGGCTATATTAAATTTAAAATTCCTCTTTTATAGTATCTTCAGTGATTTTTTTTAATTTTTATTAGTGAAACACCATGAGGTACAGTTGTGGACTTACAAGTTTTTGTGCTTGGGTTTCATTTATACAATGAGTACCCATCCCTCTACCAGTGCCCATTCTCCACCACCAATGATCCCAGTAGCCCTCCCACCCCGCATCCACCCCATCCCATCCCGCCTCTGTGGCAGGGCATTCCCTTTTGTTCTCTCTCTCCTTTTGGGTGCTGAGGTTTTCAAAAGAGGCACTGAGTGGCAATCATGTTCGGTCTATAGTCTACTTTCAGCATGGATCTCCCATCCTGGGAGGATCCTTCCAAGATCCTTTACGTGGTGTTCCCTTCGCTATCTGAGCTACCTTTTCCCCTAGCATGTGTGGCAGGCCTCCAAGCCATGGAGTGGACCTCCTTTTACTTATCTCTACTATTCTTGGATGTTATTCTCCTATTCTATTACTTTATATCCCCATATGAATGCAATCTTTCTATGTCTATCCCTCTCTTTCTGACTCATTTCGCTTAGCATGATACTTTCCATGTAGTACCACATGTATGTAAATTTCATGTCTTCATCTTTTCTAACTGCTACATAGTAATTCATCGTGTAGATGTACCAAAGTTTCTTTAACCAGTCATCTGTTCTCGGGCACTCAGGATTTTTCCAGATTCTGGCTATTGTAAACAGTGCTGCAACGAACAAACAAGTGCAGATGTCACTTCGACTATACTTTTTTGCCTCTCTGGGACATATTCCCAGGAGTGGTATCGCTGGGTCAAATGGGAGCTGAATTTCAAATTTTTTGAGAATTGTCCATACTGTTTTCCAAAAGGGCTGAACCAGCTGGCTTTCCCACCAGCAGTGAAGAAGGTCCCTTTCTCGCCACATAAGCACCAACAACTATTGCTTTTGTTCTTTTGGATGTGGACCAGTATCTGTGGTGTGAGATGATATCTCACTGTTGTTTTAATATGCATCTCCCTGATGATTAATAATGTAGAGCTTTTCTTAGGTACCTTTTTGCCATTTGGATTTCTTCTTTGAGAAAGTTTCTGGTCATCTAGTCACCCCATTCTTTGATGCGGTTGGATGTTTTCTTCTTGTGGAGTTCAACCTGTACTTTGTATATCCTTGGTATCAACCCCTTGTGAGATGTGTATTGGGTGAATATCCTTTCCCATTCTGTAGACTGTCTTTGTATTTTGGTCACTGTTTCTTTTGAGGTGCAAAAGTTTCTTAGTTTAAGATAGTCCCATTTGTCTATCTCTGTTTTCACTTGCTTGACCAGTGGCATGACATCTTTGAAGATACCGTTAGCTTCAATGTCGTGAAGGGTTTTGCCAACCTTGTCTTCAGTGTACCTTATGGATTCTGGTCTGATGTTGAGCTCTTTAATCCATTTTGATCTTATTTTTGTACATGGTGTTAGGCAGAGATCTGAACCCATTTTTTTTTGCATGTAGCCGTCCAATTTTGCCAGCACAATTTGTTAAAGAGGCTTTCTTTGCTCCACTTCACACTTCTTGCTCCCTTGTCAAAGATTAGATAATCATATATTTGGGGGGAGATGTCAGCATATTCAACCCTGTTCCATTGGTCTACAGCTCTGCCTTTGTTCCAGTACCATGCGGTTTTAATTATTACTGCTTTGTAGTAGATTTTGAAGTTAGGGAGATTGATTCCTCCCATTTTCTTTTTCCAAAGAATTACTTTAGCTATTCATGGGAGCTTATGTTTCCATATGAATTTCAGGAGTGTTTGCTCCATTTCTTTGAAGAGTATGATGGGTATCATTATAGGGATTGCATTGAATTGGTACACTGCTTTGGGGACTATTGTCATTTTGACAATGTTAATTCTTCAGATCGAAGAGCACGGGATATCTTTCCATTTCCTCATGTCCTCCTTCATTTCCTAAAGTAGCATTTAGTAGTTTTCTTTGTACAGGTCTTTCATGTCCTTAGTTAAGCTGATTCCTAGGTACTTGATTTTTCTGGGGCACAATTGTGAATGGAATTGTTTTCTTCATGTCACTTTCTTCTCTCTTCTTATTTACGATTAGGAAAGCCATGAACTTTTTGGAACTGATTTTACTGCCTGAAATTTACTATACAAGTCTAATGTTTCTAGGAGATTATTTGTAGAGGTTTTAGGGTTCTCTAAGTATAGTATTATATCATCTGCGAATAGTGAGATATTTATTTCTTCCATTCCTAACTGAATACCCTTATTATCTTTTTCTTGCCTATCCGCTATTGCAAGTACTTCCAGTACTATTATTTATCAGCAGTAGACAGAGTGGGCATCCTTGTCTCATCCCTGATCTTAGAGGGAAAGCTCTCAGATTTTCCCCATCGAGGATGATGTTTACCACAGGCTTGTGGTAGATGCCTTTAACTATATTGA